TTTGGAAGGTTGAATTTGAATGCAGAATACAGGGTTAATGGCAGGATTCTTGGCAGTGTGGAAGAACAGAGGGATCTTGGGGTCTACGTCCATAGATCCCTCAAAGTTGCTACCCAAGTTGATAGGGTTGTAAAGAAGGCGTATGGTGTGTTGGCTTTCATCGGCAGGGGAATTAAGTTTAAGAGCTGCGACGTTATGCTGCAGCTCTATAAAACCCTGGTTAGACCACACTTAGAATATTGTGTTCAGTTTTGGTCGCCTCATTATAGGAAGGATGTGGAAGTTTTAGACAGGGTGCAGAGGAGATTTACGAGGATGCTGCCTGGACCGGAGCGCAGGTATAATGAGGAAAGGTTGAGGGAGCTAGGGCTTTTCTCATTGGAGCGAAGAAGGATAAGAGGTGACTTGATAGAGTTGTACAAGATGATGAGAAGCATAGGTAGAGTGGATAGCCAGAGACTTTTTCCCAGGATGGAAATGACTATTACGAGGAGGCATAATTTTAAGGTGATTGGAGGAAGGTATAGGGGAGATGTCAGAGGTAGGTTCTTTACACAGAGTGGTGGGTGCGTGGAATGCACTGCCAGCGGTGATAGTGGAGTCAGATACCTTAGAGACATTTAAGCAACTCTTGGATAGGCACATGGATGATAGTAAAATGTAGGGTATGTATGGTAGTTTGATCTGAGGGTCAGATAATAGGTCGGCACAACATCGTGGGCCGAAGGCCCTGTACTGCGCTGTACTGTTCTATGTTCTATATCTGGATTTTCTGTCTTGGTCCGGGTCACCCGACTTGAGTGCTGCAAGCCTGGTCTTCAGTAAGGAGTGGATTTCCTGTTTTATCCATGGTTTACGGTTGGAGAACACCCGGATTGACTTCTTTGGTACACAGTCCTCCACGCATTTGCTAATGAAGTCCATTACGGTGGTGGTGTACCCTAGGTTTTCCACTGAACACTTGAACAGTGTTCACCGAGAACAAGCAGTGTCAGTGACGGGCTTCCACTGCCTCGGACCAGCGCTGTACTTCGTTTCATGAAGGATTCTCCCATTTCAGCTTCTGATTGTAAGCTGGGGGGAGGAACACAGTGCTGTGGTCAGATTTTCCAAAGTGTGGGCAGGGGATTGAGTGGTAGGCGTCTTTGATGGTTGTGCAGCAGTGGTTCAGAATGTTTGGTCCTGTAGTGGGGCAGGAGATGTGTTGGTGGTACTTTGGCATCACCTGCTTGAGGTTGGCTTGGTTGAAGTCGCTGGCCACAATGAACAGGGCCTCAGGGAATTTTGTCTCTGAATGTTTGTGGCGGTGTAAATCTCGTCTAGAGCATTCTTCTCATCCGCATGGGGTGGTATGTAGACTACTGTCAGGATGGCGGAGGTGAACTCTCGTGGTAGGTAGTAGGGATGGCATTTTACTGTAAGGTACTCTTAGCAGTGTCTTGCCAGGGTCGCTACGTCTGAGGACCAGGATGTGTTGATCAGGAAGCATTTCCCACCACCCTTTGCCTTTCCCAAGGATGCCATGTGGTCCATGCAGTGTTTGGAGAACCCATCAGCTTGTAGGGCACAATCAGGAATGGCAGGGTGAGCCAAGTCTCCGTGAAGCAGAGCACACAACGGTCTCTCAGTTCCCTCCGGTAGGTAAGTCTAGATCTAAGTTCATCCATTTTATTTTCGATACTTTGGACATTTGCTAGGAGGATGCTGAGGAGGGGAGTCTTGAAACCACGTTGTTTCAACCTCAGGCCAGCGCGTTTTCCCCATTTCCTTGTAGGCTTCCTGCAACTTGATGGTCTGGGGAGTCGGTGATGTCAGTCTGCTGCTCCTGCAGGCAAATGAGTCGGGTCCAGTCGGGCTGGGCCTTCCCTGGGGCGGGATGCTGCGAGGCTGGAGTTCAGGCCTGGGCTGGTCTGGTCTTGTTGGAGAGGGGCTGCGGTGGTGTAGTTCCTGCCTTTTGCTAGTTGCCCTTTGAGACTGATGGCCTCCGCATAATCTTCAGAACTGATACGCCTTCATTTGACAAATTGTTAATTGCAACAGTCTAATCCTTATAGCTGTGTGACATATGGTCAAGAGAGGTTCCTGATTTCTCTTCCCTAACTCTTCTAGCATCTTGAAGCTAGTAATCCTTTACCCTGCAATCTTGGATAGTGTACCTGAATCATCTAGTTCCAATGTTGCACAATTATTATTTTTCCATCTTTACCTATAGTCCTTTAGGGGACCAAACGCTTTAATCCCTCTCCCTGATTGAAACTGGTTTCCAACAGCCTCACAACTTTGTCGTAAGGCTTGCTGACTTCAGCTTTAGCAAAAGCCTTTCTGCTTGTATGCAGTGCATTCAAATGATTCTCAATGGTAGAGTTAATTGTAGTCCCTTCTCGAGCTGGAGGCTGGTTGTTTATTATATATAGAACTCTAGGATTTCTACCAAACACTGATATGGACTATATCCTCCTATTGTCCACAGCAAATTCTTAGCATGGACAGCAGATGAGAATTTGCAATTTGGTTGATCTGCCAAAATTATATGAACCGTTAAGAATTTTTGCCAATTGTACATGTCCAGTCCTGATCCACTTCTCTATTATCATATCCACAATTATTTTCATATCATTATTATGTATAATAGTCGACTGAATAAATCTGGTTGCCAAATTTACAAAATGCTATATGCTTTTTTTATCTTTATCACACACTTTTAATCTCATATCCCTCATTGAGGGCAGACTCACTATAGGCTGTGACACTTCAATACTTATTAGAAATCTGACATCAATCACATTTCTTCTGTAGCTTATTGTATTCCTCAATCCTTATTCTTGCATCCTTCACAAAACTTTTTAACCTTATTACTGACAGATGGACCAACTGATTATGTGTTTTTTTAAACAAAAAACTTTTTGTCTTCTAAACTTCTGCCCCTTGACGTTAGTGATATTTCTTTAATTTCTTTATTGTAGTGGTTATATCCCACTAAAGAAATGCAAGTGTCCAGACTGTTGAAACTGTAAATTCACAGATTTTTCAAACACAATAATGTTGTCGTTATCCCATATCCAGTTTCACCTGTGCATTTTTTCATCGATGGCCTACTTAATAACAACGGTATTTCATTAGATTTAATATCCGTGGTAATGAAATGATTGATTCTGACCACCGGGCAAAGAATGAGTACTGAATTCCTTTCCAGGAGTGTTCAAGCACTTTCTGTCTTTTTGCAAACTTAACTCTGGTCAAAACTAGAAATCTATTTTTGTCTTTTATTTTTGCATTGTGTAATAAATGCCTACACAGATTGAGTAATTTCTGGCTAGAATTTCTGCAGTCTTACAGTCTGCTGAACTTAAAAGCCATCAGGCTACAATTCTGAAAAATTGTTAATTATCTTGACATTATCTCTTAACGGTAGTGTCAAGGCCATTCCTTGTTCCTTCTTTGGTAAAGCAGTAGCATGGTTCACATGACCATCTTATTCTTTCATTACCATTATTTAATGGTAAGGAGTGAGTAATCATATCCCAGTACTTTTGATTTAGATCCAACCATAATTTTCAAGTTTTCTACAAAATACTCTTTGGTTAGAATAATGCTTTATTCTCATTCCTTCAATTACAAACAGCTAACCATCCTTTTACATCAATGTTAAATACCAGAGGTAAAAATGAGGTTTCGATTGAGTCCAGTCATACGCTTTTCTAGGCAGCACTTTATTTCTATTCACACAATCTAAATTCCAACCATTCTGATTACTTGCTCCCCATATTTATACACCCAATCTCACCCAATAATCCATTACTTAACATATACCCATCACATATTCCCTACTTCCATTAAGTCTTGATATCAGATGAAACAAGGGAAGATAGTTGGAGCTAGGATGTAACCTTGAGAAACTCTTGTAGTAATATCCTTGAGTTCAACCACAACCACCACCACAACCACATCTTCCTTTGTGCCAGCTATGGTGCCAGTCAGTGACTGTAGGGGTTCTCACACTCAGTTATGTGCTATATTCATTCGAAGGGCTTTCAGTTGTGCATGGAGGAGAAAACCACAATATTTAAACAGAATTTGGCTAAGGCAGCACTGTGGGGAGAACTGTCGTATCTGTAACTCCAGGATGTTCCTAGTGGTTAATGGTAGGGCCATGGGTAGTTTTGAATAGAGAGACCTAGGGGTTCGGGTACATAGTTCTTTGATAGTTGCGTCACAGGTAGACAGGGTGGTTAAAAAGGCGTTTGGCACACTTCCCTTCATTGCTCAGAGCATTGAGTATAGGTGTTGGGATGTCACGTTGAGTTTGTACATGACATTGGTGAGGCCACTTTTGGGGTACTGTGTAAGTTCTGGTTGGCCTGCTATAGGAAGGATATCACTAAATTGGAGAGGGTTCAGAAAAGATTTACCAAAATGTTGCCGAGACTGGAGGGTTTGAGTTACCAGGAGAGGTTAGATAGGCTGGGACGTTTTTCACTGGAGCAGAGGAGGTTGAGGGGTGACCTTATTGAGATTTATAAAATCATAAGGGGCATAAATAAGGTGAATAGCAAAGGCCTTCTCCCTAGTGTGGGGAAGTTCAAAACTAGGGGGCATATTTTTAAGGTGAGAGGAGAAAAATTTAAAAGGGACCTGATGGGGCAACTTTTTCATTCAGAGGGTGGTTCATATGTAGAATGAATATCCCAAGAAAGTGGTGGATGCAGGTAGAATTAAAACATTTAAAAGACATTTGGATAGGTACATGAATAAGAAAGGTTTGGAGGGAAATAGGCCAAGCACAGGCAAGTGGGACTAGTTCAGTTTGGGAAACCTGGTCGGCATGGAGAAGTTGGACTGAAGGATCTGTTTCTGCGTTGTGTGTCTCTGTGGCTCCATTTCTGTTTCATACCACTGAAACAGTTTACTCTCATGTTTTCAAAGGAAAAAAATCATTTTTAAATGCCATAAATAAGGTTTGAATGATGTCTTTCGTCAATTTAGGATAAATCAATACTAACCTTGCTTTCTTTTCCACTTGACCCAGTAAGTTTTTGTAAGCAGCAATCTCTTGCTCAAGCTGTGTCTTCATGTTTAACAACTCTTGATATTCACTTGTGTGACGTACAATCCTCTTTTCTAGGACTTTAGTGCATTCTCTCTGTTTGTATATATCTTTGTCCTTTTCTAACAGTGAGTTCTTCATTAATTCATCCTTTGAGAAACAGATTTCAAATAAAACATGTGTAATGTATTTTAGAAAACTTTGCATTTGCAACATCTAACTAAATACATTTCACTAAATGGGTTTGTACACAGAATATCAATGATGAAAAGAAACCAGAAGTTAGGTGTTGTATTTGTTTCTGCGAAAAACGTTGTGTGGAGAAATTCAGATTTATCTCTAAATATCAGGACAGGCAGTGCTGAAGACTGCTGGTAGTTGAGCATACTTATCTTCAATTATATCAACAAAATACTTTCTCCCAACATGGACCATAGGATTCCAATAAATCAAGGCACTCTAGTCCAATGCTGTTGGACTGCCTCATGATCGTAAGTATTTTTATTCTTTTTATTCATGCAAACATCACTGGTAAGCCCAGAGAGGCAACCACATTGCTATGTGATCTGGAGTCACATGTAGGCCAGACCAGGTAAGGATGGCAGTTTCCTTCCCTAAAGGACCGTTGTGAACCAGGTGGGTTTTTTTGACAATCCACAATGGATTCATGGTCATCATTAGACACTTAATCCCAGATTTTTTTTCTATTGAATTCAAAATTCCACCATCTACCATGGCAGGATCTGAACCCAGGCCCACAGAACAGTACCTGGGTCTCTGGATTAACAGTTCAGTGATAATACCACTAGGCCATTACCCTTGTTGGAAATGTTGAACCAAGATCCTGTCAATTGTGTGCTTTTTCAGTGTTTTGAACAACATTTCCACTCAAATGATCTGCAGGTATTACAGCAGAATTGAAAAGTTTGAATGGAGTGCAGCTGAGATACAGCATTGGCGGGAATTGGAGGAAGAAGCAGACATTGCAGGAGAACTGGAACATTTTGTTAAGAATGCCTGAAGTAAATCACTGGGAGGACTGTCACATTTTAATAGAACACAGCAGAGGGAAGAGCTACAGAGCCTAAAAAAATTGGAGAGAAAATTTGGAAATGACAAATGATCAAAGCAGAGGGAGGAACAGCAAAACCTAGGTAATCTGATTAAGAATAAACAATCTATCACCTTAGTTAACAACTAAATCAAATAAACATCCTCATTTCTACCTTAGCTACCTCTAAACTCAACGATGTGAACACACTCTCAGCTGATCTCCCACATCCTACTTTCCATAAAATTCAGGTCATCCAAAGGTGCAGCACTGGGGTTTAACGTGTACTTACCTATCGCCCTAGTGCTCATTGAGCTGTACTCGTTCCTGATCAAGCAATGTATTAATTTTAAATTCTCATCCTTATTTTCAAATTCCTCCATGGTCTCACAACGCATTTCAAACAAAGAAAATTCCAGTACAGGAACAGACCCTTCGGCCCTCCAAGCCTGCACTGACATTGCTTCCGTCACAACTAAAACCCCCTATCCTTCCGGGGACCATATCCCTCTATTCCCATCCTATTCATGTATTTGTCAAGACGGCCTTTAAAAGTCACCATTGTATCTGCTTCCACTACCTCCCTCGGCAGCGAGTTCCAGCATCTATCACCCTCTGGGTAAAAAACTTGCCTCGTACATCAACTTTGATCCTTGCCCCTAGCACCTTAAACCTATGCCCCCTAGTAAATTCCACCCTGGGAGAAAGCTTCTGACTGTCTACTCTGTCGATGCTCTTCATAATCTTGTAGACCTCTGTCAGGTCACCCCTCAACCTCTGTCGTTCCACTGAGAACAACCCAAGTTTCTCCAACATCTCCTGATAGCTAATGTCTCAATTCCAGGCAACATCCTGGTAAGTCTTTTCTGTACCCACTCCAAAGCCACCACATCTTTCTGGTAGTGTGGCGACCAGAATTGAACACAATATTCCAAATGCGGCCTAACTAAGATTCTATAAAGCTGCAACATTACCCGCCAATTTTTAAACTCAATGCCCTGGCCGATGAAGGCAAGCATGCTGTATGCCTTGTTGACTACCTTCTCCACCCACGTTGCCACTTTCAGTGATCAGTGTATCTGTACACCCAGATCCCTCTGCCTATCAGTACTCTTAAGGGTTCTGCCATTTACTGTATATTTTCCATCTGGATTAGACCTTCCAAAATGCATTACCTCACATTTTTCCGTATTAAACTCCATCTGCCATCTCTCTGCCCACATCACCAACCGACTTATATCCTGCTGTATCCACTGATTGTCCTTATCACTATCCACAATTCCACCAACCTTTGTGTCATCCGCAAACTTACTAATCAAACCAGTTACATTTTCCTCCAAATCTTTTATATATA